CCCGCGAGAATAGGAATAGTGAAAAATTTGAATTATGAAATTAAGAATGTTCTATGTCAAATCAACTAAAGCATTTTGCTTCAGTCATTTTAGATAGTAGATAAAACAATTGGAACATTAATCTCAGCAGAATAGTACTTGGGTGGCTTTTTTTCATAATGATAGTCTTTTTTAAACTTGATATCTAACTCTGAAATAATGATAGGGATGATGCATTTAGCAATATTCTCAGCAAAAGTTTTCCCCAAGCATATTCTTCTACCGCCCAAAAATGGACTATAGCTGCATTGTTTTCTCTTTTTTCCGTCAGGGGTTAGGTAGTACGGACTTTATGGATCAAATCTTTCTGGAATGAATTTTGATGGTTCTTGCCATTCCTTGGGGTTTCTGTGGAGTAAATAGAAATTTACAGCGATTGATGTATTTTGATCAACAGTATAATTTCCCAATTTCATTGTTTTACATAACTACATAGGAGTTGAAGATCTAATTGGTGGTTCAATTCTCAATGACTCTTAGATTGCTAAGTAGAGATATTTCCAATCTTCTTACAGTTATTCATAACTTAGTTTCTCAATCCAAAGTTCAGGAGATAGTTTAAGATTTTCAAATGGTGCTGGATTGCTTCTATCTGGACTCATAATTGCTGATATTTCTTTTCTGAGTTTTTGCTTGACTTCAGGTTAAAATTCATAGTAATATAGGGTGTTGGTTATCAAGGCTGTAGTTGTCAAAATAGATGCAGTCATGAAGGTTGCAAGCTCATCTTTCATTAAATTCTCATCATTTTTGAAAAGATCATCAGTCAAGAGCATTGTGAGAAAATCAGCACTCACATAGTTAGGATCTTGCATCTTCACTTTTCTTTCATTTATTAATTTCTGCAAGTATTCTCTAAAAGTTTACTGGTTCTTCTATAGGGTCCTCTCAGACTTACCGATACTATACTAATCTAGGAATGAAACGAATGTTCTCAAGGGAGTGATTGCTTTAATTGTCAAAGCTTAAAAGAGATTGGCAGCAGCGAAACCTAATGAAATTTCAACAACTTCATCATCTTATATGAATGGCATAGTTTATTTTAGAGATGTCTCCCCAAAAATACTAATCAAAATTGAGTCTTGAATAACTTGATTTATCATTGAATTAAGCTCTCTTTCATTATTTCCGTTCTTAATTTCAATTTTTAATCTTTCTATCCAAGCATAAGTCTTTCTGATGATAACTTTTAGATTAGAAGACATTTTATCTTTATAAAATGCAGCTGAAAGGTGTTTTCTTTTGGTGGCTTGTCTCTCTGTAGTCTTTTCAAACAAAACAGACTCGCCAGTCAGACCATAAAAAACTTTCTAAACGCGATAAAGCTTATCAACATATTTCCCTTTTGTCACAAAAATTTCTTGCAAAATATCTGGATCACTTATAACTAACTAACCTGTAGCTGCTCTGAAATCAATGAAAATACTTGGTATCTCACCATTTTAAAAATATTTGAGATAGTACTCATATAAAATTTGCTCAGAATACTCATAACGATTCTTTAATATTTTCTTTAGGATCAACAGGTTAAATATCAGAGGTTTAGGTACACAAATAGATATGATACCTTAACTTGTATAGTACCAATAGTAGTAATAAGGCTTTAATATTATCTCCCAAAATACATAGAGGATAAATGGCCATAAAATGAGTGAAAAAATCATTGTCTAACTTAAATTAGTATGAAATATTAAAATAAAGTCTAGCTCCTACCACTTTATTTAAAATTAGAATCTTTTACCCATGACATCATATTTTTTCGTAAAGGGGTTTTGGGGTTTTGGGG